GGTCTCTAGGCTGACAAGCCTGTTGAACTTTTCTTCCAGTGTCGTAAGTGTCGCAGCCTCAGACAACACCTTGCTTTGATGCTCCAGGTTTGCCAGCCCAGCCACCATTTGTCCTGCTACCATATCGTTGGAGTAGCTGACTTTCCGACCGCATCCTATCCCGTTCGGACAAGTCACTGAAAAGTCGCAGAATTTTGCGACTGATCGAAGTCGTGCCACGAAGTCCGTAATCGATTCCCCTCCTTCTGCCTTACGGAGTGGAATTCTTGCCGGTACACTTCTTTGTGTAGGCTTCTGACGGCTACGAGCTTTATGTGTCGTAACAGCTCTTCCTCCGTGACGGAGTTTAGTACTTCTGCTCCTACCATATCGAACAACAGCCTGTTCACTTCTGGGGCACAGGCCGTTCTCAGCTCGTTTCTTAACGCTGTTGGCTCCGTCAACCCACACATCTCCTTGTATCTATTCCAGGAGTCAATGAATATCGCCCAGTCACCATCACTTGAGTCCGGTTCTATATTAGGTCTGTCGGGTCTCCTTGTAAGTGACTTTCTCGGCTGTCCTCCGTCTCTTCGCAGGGCGATGATCTCTTGCTGTAGCTCGATGAGCTGTCGAAGTAATGTCTGCTGTGTTTGTTCGTCCATATTCCAACGTTGTTTGTAGCAGGTTTCCTATATCGGCGACGCCATGTAAGGTAGCAGCGAGACGACGTGTATCTGCCTCGATACTCGTTGCCGTAAATGTCTTGTTTAAGTAGCCCACTCTCGCCTCTCGTGTAAGCGGGCGAGTCTACTTCTATGGGGGTGTGACGCCAAGACCATTCCGGTCTTGTAACTGGGCGTCTTAGGTTCGATTCCACCTCTACATGTATTTGCTAGTATTTAAATTGAAAAATAAAGTGTCTTTTTGAATAAAAATATGGGGATGCTCAGCTCCTTATGAGCCGACCTCCTAGCATGGTATTGGTAATGTGGTATTTTCCTAAATTTAGTTATTTTGTAACAAACCAAAAAAAGAACAATGAAGTTTATTTTTTAGAGATTGAATAAAAAATTATTTTCCATAAAATGGCTGAAAAATATCAATAAATTGTCAATAATAAATTATTATTCAGGGATATTCCGAGCAACGCCGGGTATCCCCGCTAGAGTGGATGCAAGGGAAAATGGTTCTCTAAAATGACTAAAAGACAGTAGTTTCGTTTTGAAGGTGTTAAAATTTACAAGCCATTTCTTGCCACCATTAACAACAGATTGATAAGAGACAAAAACAGATCATTGGAAGGATCAGTTGGTTTACCCAAGTTGTTAAAGGAGCTGGAAAGCAAAAAGTAAGCAAAGCATTTGTTATGTCGTTTAAACAGAACGGTCGCCGGTTTAGGAGCACTTCTCTTTAGGACAATCGCGGGTTTTTACCATCAAAACAGCATGACTTATAGGAAAAGACAAAATTATTCGTACAGTAGAAAATAAATTGATTGATTCGTGTAAGTATAAGTAATTTACATAGAAAAATACCAAAATTTTCTTTCGAATAGTTTTTATTTTTCCGAGTACTTTCCGATTCATCTGAGGCCATATTCAAGGGGTTAAGTTGCCTGTGAATATGTATATGTGTTTCTACGAATTTAAAACATTTCAACTATTTTTTTTACTACTAATGCAGAAAGTATTCCAAAGAAAATTTTGGTATTTTTCTTACTAAATTTTTTAAATCTACCAAAAAGTTGAACTTGGAAGGATCGCAACTAAAACTAATCGACATATGTCTTAATTATCTAACCAAACCTGTTTGAATGAAAATATGCTGCCTAAAAGTACACAATATATATATATATGTGTGTGTGTGTGTGTGTGTGTGTGTGTGTGTGTGTGCGTGCGTGTGTGTGTGAGTGAACGTGCGTGTGTGTACAGAAATAATGGAAATAGAACTAGACGGAATGAGTTAGATAAATAAAGATAAGTACCTTCATGAGATTGCTAAAAAATGTTATGACCTGCTTTGTTTTATTTTCAAATTACATCTTTTCGGCTCAGTAACTAAGTTAAGCTTGTTTTAAAATATTTTAAATAAACATTAAAATTTCTAACTTTCTTAAAATAAGTTTTGAAAAAATTATAATTGATTTTTAAAAGAACTTCAAACTGAGATTTTCATATATATTTTTTTAAATCGAAAAAATGGTTGAAATGATTGATTATCTGTCAATTTATCTGACTCAAAAAAAAAGATTTTTAACGAAACATTTGGACGTGCTAGGAACGATTAAAAATGTAAAGAAAATACCCCCAAAATACTTTGATCTTTCCTCTTAATAGTAACATAAACATTTAGACGATAAAGTTTTGTTTTCGTCAAGTTTGGTGTCTTTTTCATCAGAATATGCTCTTTTTTTAGCAATCTCATAAAGAGACAAGAAAAAAACGATGAAGATGAGAAATGACAACGCCATTCTACACGTACGTCCACATACATATGTTATAACATCACTACAAAAATAGCCAAAAAACTTAACAACATACTCTAAATACAATCTATTAGTGTATTAAAGTTAAGATTAAATTAAATTAGAAATCAATATAGCTAAATTTTAATTTCATAGTAAAATTAAAAATTACAAATGTCGAGTTCTAAATTTAACCACGCATCAAGTTTAAAATATTACAAAATTATTCAGAAATGAAGCAGGGGAAGCAATATATATATATATATATATATATATATATATATATATATATATATATATATATGAATACAAGGTTGGTAAAGATGGAATGAACTTCCAGTAACCCAAAACACAATTTAAAAAAAAAATGTGCTCAATACATAGTAAAGCGAATAATATTTATTTAAAAATCATAATATAAGTATGTTATAACATCACTACAAAATAGCCATTTTGTTTCAACACTTCTGGTGTTATAATTTTTAAATATTGATATAGATAGATAATATTAGTGGTCAATATATATATATATATATATATATATATATATATATGTATGTATGTATGTATCACCATGAGATCGCTCGAAAATGAGCGTAGTAGGATAATAACGGCCTTAAACTTGACGAAAACAAAATTTTATCGTCAAAATGTTTATGTTTTTATTAATAGGAAAGAACAAAGTAATTTTTTAATTATTTTTCATAACTTTTTTGTCTTTATTAGAGCATTCTAACTTTTGATTAAAAACATCGTTTCTCATCATCAGCAGGTGTCCTACTAAATAACAGTTGTACAGTTTTAGTGATTAATTAGTTAAAATCACAAGGCTTTGAGAAAAGCAAATCGTTTTTTTTTTAGTTGACCCCCTTCTACCTTAAAATCAGCTCTGAATTGTAACATACAAAACTCAATAAAACAAAGATATTATTTGATTTCAAAAGCTTTAGTTGCTTTTACTTGTTTGTATGAATATGGATATTTTCTGAAAGCAAAAAATGTTTTCGATGAAAAATAAATTTTTACAACAATTATTTGTTATTTCTTAAATTATTTTATTATTTTTTTCATTAAATTTGTTAAATATTCTACAAATAATGAAAATCTTGTACACCTTAATCAATGATGTTACTAAGTAGATAAATATAATTTACAGATTATAAAATAGCTACCAATAGCTAAAAATCTAATATAACATGTTTTTTTTTTGTTTTTTTTGTTTTTTGTGCACCAAAATAGCTTAAATTCAAATATACGGAAGATCGGAAGCATCATGAGAACAATAGTCCGTCACGTGGTCTGCGTTGGTAATAACATAAACATTTTGGCGATAAAATTCTGTTTTCGTCAAGTTTAAGGCCGTTTTTCTCATGCTATGCCTACTTAAAAATAACGCGGTAAATAAGTTGTTCACATAAAGCTAAACTGTCACTTGTGACCTTCCGTACTATAACTTTTCCTCCCATAAGATGAAATCCCGCACATGTCACTTGTCAATCTTCTGTTAAGACCGGCTTTCTATCATTTGAAAGTACTTTTTTTTCAGCGCAGAAAGTAAGTAATGTTTGTTTCAAAATGCATTAAATAAACTTCATAATTTCTAATTTTCTTAAATTAATTTAAAAAAAAATTATAATTGATTTTTAAATGAATTTTAAACGGGGACTTTCACTTTTGTAAACAAAAGTTAAAAAATGGCTGACGATCGATTTTCTGTCAATTTTACTGATCAAAAAAATACAAGATTTTTAACGAAAATTTTGGACGTGCTAGAAATTATTAAAAAATGTAAAAAATTCAAAAATACTTTGATCTTTCCTTTTGATAATAACATAAACATTTAGACGATAAAAAATATTTTCATCAAGTTTAAGGCCGTTATTATCCTGTTATGCTCATTTTACAGCGACCTCATGTTGGTACCTATATATATATATATATATATATATATATATATATAAATTCCAAAGAGGATAGAATCCAGGTAGAACTCAATGTCCAGGACAGAGTAAGAATATAATATAAAAGGCTCAAACACTAATATTCCCTGATAATCACGATCCAATTCATCTGGTAGGTCTGATGAATTGGATCGTGATTACGATTACAATGTAATAAATTGTAACCATGGAATATTAGTGTTTGATGCTTTTATATATATATATATATATATATATATATATATATATATATATATAACTTGTGTGTCGAAATAAAGTGACACAGAGAGAAGTAGAGGAGGAAGGAGTGAGAACATTTTTACGTTTCTATCAGATGTTGACTTTCTAAATCATCACAAATGAAATGAAGTTTTTGTTTATTTGTAAACAAAACATTATCGCCACAATTGTTCTTGTATAAAGACACTAAACATCTTGTTTTAATGCCAGTGCTAAAATATAAATGTTTGATTTTAGATTTTGAAGATTAATACAGCTGGTTGCTTGCTGGTTGCTAGTACACCCAGGTACTTGTAAAGACTGTAGAGCCATCAGGATATAAAATCTAATAATGCTTTTGAGATGGGCCACTTAAACGTTCAGGGAATATGAACAGCGTTCTTGAAATGACTGTGGTATGAACTTATTGTAGGCGCTGATGTATGCCTGTGTGTGGATAGAGGAAATAATGGTGATAGATAGATGGATAGATAGATAGATATGAACAGAATTGAAATAGATGGATAGGTAAAGAGATATGAACCGAATGAGATAGATAGATAGATAGATATGAACAGAATGAGATAGATAGATATGAACGGAATGAGAGAAATAGATCTTTTTATTAATCCGACATATTTTTATCACTTTAAATCTTATTTTTAGTGGATACTCGTATTTGATTAGACACTCCGTTTATTTATCAAACAGTATATTCAATTATTTTTGTCTACCGGTCTGAATATTCAAGAGATCTTATTAAAGGAAAATCTTCGGCAGGATTCGAACCTGCGAAAAGGCCTGGACAGAGGGAACTGTCGTTGGTTGCTCTAACTGACTGGGCTACAAAGACCTTAGCCGATCCGGCAAAGCTGAAATAGTGCCTTTAAGCGAAATTTCTCCCGTCACAATTTTTTTTTATATCTGCTGAAAGGTAAAAAAGACAATTTACTATAGATGTAATGGATTTTTATTTATTAATCCCACAGATTTAATCACTTTAAACCTTATTTTTAATGGATACTCGTGTTTGGTTATTCAGGCCGGTATTTATACTGTTTATTAAACAAACAGACCGTCTACTGAAATACGAGTATTCATTAAAAATAATGTTTAAATGGATAAAATAATTATTAATGCAACTTCCTTGTGATAAAATAATCTCCCGTGTTTTATGATTACCTCCCTTTGGAAAACTCTTTCGTTTGTAGAAGACTATAAATAGTCACGACGCTGGTATCAATGATTCTAAGCAGAATAAAGCTCTGACCTCGTTAGACCTTTTTGTCTCGCTGAGAATCTTTTGGGACATTTCATTGCTGATATTCCGTTAAGTTTTGATTTATTTTTTCCGTTTTTCTTACGTTTCCTTTTTGACTTTTTGGTAAATTTTTGATTTTTTTTCCTAACCCTCCCCATTTTTATTTTTTCTTTATTTTGCTATTAATCCTTTATTATTTAACTTTTTGATTTTCTTTTACGTTTGATTTTTCTTTTTTTTTTCATTTATTTTCTCCCCGTACCCACTTCCCAGAGTTTATCTGTTTATTTTTCGTTTTTACATTTTCCGTCAGACTTTATTGTCCTTTATTTATTACCTGTTACTTTGTCTGTGTTCTTTTTTTTTTAAATAACAGTAAAGTTCTGTGATTTTTGTTTCGTCTGTTATATATTTGTTTGTAAATTTTGTGTTTATATTGTATATTCTGTTCATTGTTTTAAATTTTACCTTTTTGTAATATTTTTCTTGTCTGTTTATATTTTGTTGTTGGAAGTCCCACCACCACCACCACCGAAGTGTATCATTGATATTGTGGATTTCTTGGAGCGTGCCAAGAGTTACTCACACTTTGTCATAGAAGGTGGGATCTTGGAGGACCCCAAAGAACTGAAGAAAATCGAGAAAAGAATAGTGTCTGTCTTCGTCTTCGATAAGCGTACACGCAAAATTTGTCGTTCGACGAAAGACACAGTGGTAAAAACATTGGAGTCCCAGGGGTTTAAGCCACTAAGAATTGTTAAGGGCTCGGGCTTTTTCATGTAGGACATATTGCTACCCACACCAGAAGATTGTCTGAAAATCACGAGCAGAGAGATAATCACCAAGGATATTATTCTGCGCACTGAATACGGACGCAGGCGAAGCACTATTGTAACTATATACGAGGTCCCTCCTCAGGTTAACGGGGAACACCTACCGGTTTTCCTGTCGCAGTATGTGCTGTGAAGGGGTAGGGCTATTCAGGACAAATTTCATATGGTACGCTTGATCATCGAGCAAGTCGACAGTGAAGCCGCGCTGATCAATTTAGATCAGCCCAAGGCCTTTGATAGGGTTGACCATCGATTTCTAGAGGCTGTCCTTTCAGCGACTGGTTTCGGGCCGTACTTTCGCACCTGGATCCGACTTCTGTATGCGACCCCCGGTGCGCTGGTAGAGGAGAATGGAGTAAATCGAAGCCTTTCGTATTGTCTCGCTCCATTCGTCAAGGTTGTCCGCTTTCGCCTTTGCTTTACGTTCTTGCGTTGGAACATTTCCTTCGCAAGTTAAAGACGAATCCGGTCCTACGCGGAATTTCCTTGTCGGATGCTACCAACTCGTCCAAGTATTCCGCCTATGCTGATGACGTTTCGGTTCTTGTGTCGAGCAGGGCCGAGATTGACGAAGTCAGCAAATAAATCAGTGATTATGAGATGGTGACAGGGGCCAAGATCAACCGCGATAAGTCTGTTGGCTTGCGGCTAGGTGCGTGGAAGGGAGTTTCTCTTCCCGGACCTTTCCTCTGGACGGATGGACCGGTCAAGATTCTCGGCGTCTGGTTCGGTCCTGATCTCCAGTTGGAAATGAATTGGTCGGAGGTGCAAGAGAAGACCGAGATCGCAATTAATTTGTGGTCTCGGAGGAATCTTTCCTTAAAGGGGAGGGCGGAAGTATGTGTTTCACACATCTACCCGATTCTCATTTACCGACTCTCTGTGCTTCCACTTCCGTCTGATACTTTACTTGCGTTAGTGAGGCTCTTGTTCTCCTTCTTCTGGGGAGGCAAGGCCGCCAGAGGCTCTCGGGAGATCTGTTGCCTTCGTCCATCTGAAGGAGGTCTATTTATGTCTAGCATTGAGATTCGTCAATATATGCTTCGCATCGGGTTCCTGGATTGAATGTGTCGCGAATCGGATGAGTTGGGTGCCTTCTGGAGGGAAGGAAGAAAGGAAGGAAGGAAGAAAGGAAGGAATGAAATTCCCATCCCTGAGAAGCGTGCACTCGTTTGAGGAGGCGGCCCACCGTTTACCCAAAATCGAGTGCTCCTTCTACCATGAATGTCGTCGTGTTCTGAAACACGTCCAGGCGTTGTCTCGTAAGGCATTGTATCAGGTGTTAGTTAGGAGGGCCCGTTCGTGATGAACTGATTGACGAGCTCGGTCTTGGGTGCCCGGGTTGAAATGTCTCAATAACAATGAGGCATCACTCACATGGCTGATGATGCGTGGGGCCGTCTGGGTCGCCAAGAGACTTTGCACAGCGGGCTTGGAGAAATATCCAAACTGCCTCCGCTGTAGTGGTGAAGTCGAGACCATTGGTCAAGCCTTTTCATTGCAGGGTGGTAGCGCCTTTGCGCAGGTATGCTGAAGGCCTCATGGTTCGCATGCTGCCTGGAAAGTTCTTTGTCCTTGAGGCCGCTTCTTTTTGTAGCAATGTGGCTCCGCCGTTGACGAAGGCTGAACATTATGTGTTCTCATGCTGTCTAGGTGTTATGAGAGTCGTGATTTGGACGACACATCAGAAGGGATTCTATGAAGGCGAGAACTTCACTTCTTACCAACTGACCTTGTACTTTAAGCATCAGCTTAAGGTTAAAATTAGAACGAAAAGGCGGCGACTCTCTTCATCAGAATTCGGCAAAAGGTGGGTGAATCTTGAGCGTTTGTGTCGTGTGAAAGGGGCTGACCTGGAGTGGCACTTTGATGCCGGTTAGGCATCAGGATATTGCTTGCCTGGGTTGAACACGGGCAACCCATCCTAAAATTAGGTTAGCTTAGGTTTAGTTTTTGATTCTTTAGTTTTTTTCATTAAACTTAGCTAGGGTATGTATGCTCAATGGCCCCTTTTATTTCTGTTCCTATTTTCTTTAAGTTTAATTCCCCATCCCCTCCCTCGTTAGGTGGTCAGTGACGTCAGTTCTCTGGTGGATGCGGGGCGTTTTTCGTTTCGTGTGTGTGTTTTCGTATTTGTTGTAGTGTCTGGATGAGTGCGTGTCTGTGTGAGTGCTTGGGATGAACGTTTTGTTTATATTATTATAGTCCCGCATTAATTTCGTCTACTTAACTGATGTTTCGGCCACATTTAGTGATTGTGGGGGGGGAGTTATTACTAACATGATTTTTTTTAGTTTTCTTGTAAATAGTTATTAGTTCATACTGTAAATACTCATTGAGGCTAGTTTTTAAAATTTTTAAATTGATATTTTATTCAAATCCCCCCCCACAGACGATATATTGTACATATGGGGACTAGTTAGTATTTTCATGGAGAAATTGAGGTATTATGGTGGGTGTGGTGAGAAAAGTAATTAAGAATGTGTTGTTTTGGTACAAGAAATATTGTTAGTATGATTGGGTCAGCGTTTGTGGCTACCTAAGCTTAAAGTTAAGAAAGAAGACCGACCTCTTCCCCCTTCCCCATTTCGGCCTTATCCCACATTTTCTTTTTTTACGGAAATAAACATTCTAAGCAGAATAAGGCTCCTTAAGCCTACTCTTAATCTCTTTTTTATTACATTTCAGTGTCGTAATAAATGTTTTATTGTATCTGTGTGGCAGTAATCGATTTAAAGAATTTTTTTTTAATTGTGTTTGTTTTGGATGCTGTGTTATTGGTAAGAATTCGACTGTTTTACGTAGGCTTTTCGCAATAAGCCAAAGATTTCAAATGGTTTTGTTCAATATATATATATTGTTCTCTTCTCTGCGATTCTCTGTTCACTTTTAGATTTGTAAATCTGTAGCTTCTATTTTTATATCAACTGTTTCTACTGGCATAACATCAAAAGAAACCAGCGTTAACCGAATATCCTCTTTTCTATTAAATCAAAAAAGAAGAGACCAAATGGAAGGAATAATCAAATTTTTCATCCCAGCGAATAACACATAAGAACTCAAGATGAAAGACATTATATAAAGAAATGACCAAGAAAGTACAAGGGCTCATCGAATTTAGCAAATTAGTGATTAGTCTGTTTATCATAATCGATATTTTCTTCATGTCAGAATTATTTGCTGATTGCTATTAGGTATCACGTAAAAATATATACAGGGTTATTCATAAAGACATAAAGAATGAACTGATTTCATGACACATTGCTACAGTTCTCAAGCATCGTTATAGAATGAGTCAGTGACCATTCAAAAGAGTTTTCTAAGTTTTAAGTGGCTACTGTATTCGCGTCGTATTTCCGTTAATGTTCAGTTGTTTGTTTATCCCCAGAATGGCGAGTCCTCAGCAAAAGGCGTTCTGCGTTCTCGTGTTCGTGAAAACAAATACGGTTGTCACGATGCAGCGTGCTTTTCGAAGGCAATTCGACATAAATCCGCCCTCTCCCAAGAACAGTCGACGGTGGTTTATACAGTTTCAAGAGAGGGGATGTCTGTGTAATGAAAAAAAGTCCATGACAACAACAAGTTTCGGAGGAACAAGTGGCGAGAATCTATGCTACGTTTGACGGAAGTCCACAAATGGAGCTAGGCGTGAGTTTGCGATCTCTCAATCCACTATCTGGTGTGTGATAAGAAGACGTCTAAATTTGAAACCTTACAGACTACGCCTCGTTCGGACTCTTACAAAGACCTTGCTCTTTGTGCTTGGCCTACGAGATACACAAATCTCACCGTGTGTGATTTTTTCTTGTGGGGGAAACGCAAAAGATTGCGTTTGTGTTCCACCGCTACCCACTAAGCTCGATGACCTTAAACACCTGACAACAACAACGATAAAGTCAATGGATTGTGAAATGCTGATACGCGTCTGGAAGTGGTAAGTGAAGGTTATTACAATTTTCAAGGGAAAGTAAATATTAATAATTATAACAACCTTCACTTACCACCGCCTGATGAGGTGCTATGATAGGCATCGAAACATGGATGCATTGATGAGGTTTACATATGTTCGAATGTAATACCTTATAATAAAGAAAATATATATATACATATATATTTGTATATATATATATATATATATATATATATATATATATATATATATATATATATATTTGTATATATATATTTATATATATATATTTATATATATATTTGTATATATATACATTTGTATATATATATATTATATATATATGTATATATTTGTATATATATATATATATATATATATATATATATATATATATATATATATATATATATATATATATATATATATATATATATATATATATATATATATATATATATATATATATATATATATGCAAGTCGTATGTTAATATACGCAAAAAATCATACACATAGGCCTATATGTTATATACCGTACATATGAACACTAATAGCTATGTTCCAATCCTCATAAATATGTTAGACACTATTGTAAGTGGTGGTAATATGATGTTTATGTTGTCTACCACTAACAGTGGTTTACCTACTTCACACCGCTGGCGAGTATTGTATTTTGTTGATGTTATAAAGATTATCATTTCATTCCAACCTCCATTTTGGTTATTACTCATTCAGTTACCTTTTCTATGTTACAATATTATGTATGTTCATGTATACGTGTGCAATGTCTGCGTTCATTGAAACAAAGAGATTGCTGATAAAGCCAGTCTGAACTTTCACTAACTATGAGAATGAAAGCGGACGAATATGAACACTTGCTGCCATAAGTGAGTATAATTCTCTCGACCGAAATTTACTCAAGTGTATTCGCTTTGTCTCTGTCTCTGTCTCTCTGTCTCTCTCTGTATTTACCAACCAATGTAGTCTGTTTTTTTTTCTCCCTCTGTCTGTTTGACTAATCTAACGTATTTATTTGTGTTCTAATTATTCTAACCTAATTTGTAACCCTGTAAGTTCGTTTAGTTGGAAATCCCTCTTCCAAAAAAAAACAAAAAAAAAACAGTCTTGGACAGCAGGCGAACGTACGTCGTCAGTATTCTTATGTTCTATTGGACCGAATATCTTGCTAGATAAAATAGTCCAGAGTGGATCACTCCTCTCTGCTCTCACCCCAAATCCTATGTAACCCCATGCGTGCTAGTGGTTTCCAGCCATGCTTGGGGTGAAATGCTTAAAACACACACACACACACACACACACACACACACACACACACATGCACGCCCAGTTATACATATATGAGAGGTAGCTGTAAGTTCTCGGCTCCCCAGAGAAGCCCTTTCCCTCAAATTCTGGTATTTGCTCATATGGTCAGATCTTGGATAATGGATCAAGCCAAAAACTTCTTTCAGTACCCGCATGTGTATAACGAGGCCAGATTAATAAATCGAGCTAAATTTTGATCTGAAATGTTCACTGTATAATGTTTGATCTCTGTCATTAATATTCACCACCGAATTAAGTGCATTAACAAGGAATGAAATTATCTAGAAAAATAAATACTTGTGTTTTTTGTCATGGGCTATAAACTTACATATTTAACAATACATACATATCCATACCATATATATATATATATATATATATATATATATATATATATATATATATATATATATATATATATATATATATATATATATTCCTTCCGCTTTTTTTTTTATTCTAGTGTTTAGTTGTTTTGGTGATTGTTCTTCAGTTTACCCCAGGAAACATAGTTTTAATTTTCTATTATGTGGTCTTTGATGATATATATATTTTTTTAACGAAATCACTATTTTAGACGTATTTCCCCCTTTTTATCTGTCTACAACAAGGCAGAACCACAAGAAAAATTAAAATAATTAACTGACTTACCGTTGGGTCTTATTACCGTCACAAGTTAGGGCGGCCAAATTCAGTTCATGTCTCTGGATAATCCGCATAGTATCACAATCAGCAGGTGGAACTCTCTTATCCTCAGAAGCAGGTCAGGTTACTGGTGTAGCGAGCAAGATGTGTAAAACCAGTAATTTGCAAGGAAGCCAAAGTACATTACTTATGGCGCGTCTCTTCGCATCTCTATGATACATTTTCGATTATATCGAAGCTTTTAAAGGAGAGAAAATAAATGCTTACAATGGCTCCTGTTTCAACAGCAACGAAATGTCTGCTTGTGGCCCTGTTGTTATCGCCTCAACACATTTATGACATGAAGCGGATTGACTGATTTACTCACAACGGGGTCCAAGTCCGAGCACAAATGCCGTCTCTTCACCCTACTGTAGTAATCCCATTTCCGTCGACTGGGCCACATGTGCTGCATATCAGACGCAAGGGTCCTGAAACTCTGCTGTCCATCCTGGGTATGACGATAAACAACATCCGCGTCCTGGGTAAGACCATAAACTACGTCCAAGAGCAAGGCCTCTGATCAGGAGCTTTTGAGAAGCGTAGAACCACCTCTTAATTGCTGGTGTTCACAGGTCCACTTTGATCCGGGGTGGTAGCACCTGTTAGGGTCCAAGCTATAAGTAAATATTTAACTGGGTCAAAATACTATGAAAGTATAAAAATAGGTTTTTGGTTTTAATGCCAGAAATACTTTGTAAAAAATTATTACCAGCAATACATTATTACCAGCAATACAATTTTGAAAAAAAATATTACCACCAATAAAAATCTTGTTGGCATTAAATAACCCATTGATGTTGATATGCCGTAAAACAAAACAAAACAAACATTTATGAAGAAAAAATATTACCAGAAATAAATTTTTGAAGGAAAAAAAACTTCCCAGCAATATTACCAGAAATAAAAACTGTCGGCATTAAATAACCCATTGTGGTTGATATGTCGTAAAACAAACCAAACCAAGCTCTATGTGGAGCTGGTATCCAACAAGAGAGCTCAATGGCAGCCTCATCTTCGATTCAAAGATGTCTTCATGCAAGACACTGAACGGGAAATTACAAGCGACTGCTTTGCTGAATGACGAGGTCTAAAAACGAGAAGAGACTGAAGTATGTATGAGTAGAAAGACGAACTCGCTGAATAAGAAACAGTAAAAATCAGGAAGTTGTAGAGAGCCATGATCGCCCACATCCTAAAGAAATACAAAAACCAAAGAACAGAGCAGCCATCTTCAATCCCAAAAGAAAAAGAAACAAAAAGAGAAAATAATATTTTAATCTCCTCTTGTGATCTTAATGCAAATCTTCTCAAAGTCTTAAAACTGGATATTGAATAATTGGAATCTGGAATCGGAACGCAGGCAGTAGATCAGTGTCCGTTATCAAGGTAATAATGGATACTGCCAAAATTGGACGTAACCATTTTCTGAACTGATGCCAGGTAAGCTATCTCAATGAGAACTAGAAAAGATGTCACTCACAAAAATTTCATTAATCTTGAGGAAATTGCTTATGAAAATTGTTAATTTATATTCATATTGAAATTTAACTTTTGTAAAACCATCGCAAAAAGCCGTAAATGTATTGGGTTGGTTTTGTGCACAGGTAACATTTGAACATGTTATTTCATTTCACACGAGACTGGAATTTGTGCCATATAGGAATATTATGAAAGGTGATATATCAACGCGTCTTTCTACACAATTCATGTGTAGATTGGGAATTTTAATTTTTTTATTTTTTACGTTAAAAAAGATTCTGAATTTTACGTTTTTTTTTTACGTTCCCCACCATCTTAACACCTTTATCCACTGTGCTATGTGTCCTTGAGGACACATGACACAGCGGGTTAGATCCAGTGACAAGACCCAAAGAGTGTGAGTTCAATACCTGGTTAAGGCAGTGGAGAACTTGGAGAGGGGAAATAACAGGAGATAACTGATAACTGACATCCATTAGACATGGCACATGGAACTAGAACAGTATACCTCAGTGAGCGAAATAAAGGATTTATTTCGACATTCCAACCAACCACTGAAGAAGGCCGGAGCGTACAACGGTCGAAACGTTGTAATAAATATGGCGACAAAAATGAGGACAATAGTCCGAATAATGTAAATAGTTAACGGAATAAATTTAATAGACCGCATTTCCATCTGCGAATCTCTGCTCAAAAAATTACAAAAATAAGACATTTTTAAGAACGTTCACAAGCGATGAAAAATGGACTGTTTACAACAATGTTAAATGAAAAAGTTCCTGTGGAATTCGAAATGAGCCACCATTACTGAATTCAAAAGCTGGTCTGTGTGTCTGATAGGATTGGAAGAGCATTGTGTATTACGAGCTCATCAGGCGTTGAACTGGTCTGAGTTCAACGCCTTTTCATATTGGTACTGCTCCAAATTGGGCCGATTAAAGGCGGCTATCGATTAAAAGCGTCAGTTGGAAGAGTGTCGTTTTCGACAAGAAAATCGGTACAACTTGGCGGACATGCCCTATTACACACGCATAGCTCACGTGACTTTGTCCCTTTTCGATTGCCATTTATCACGATCATTACAAAAGGCCCTTAATGTGAAGAACATCAATTCTCTAAAAGACTGTAAAAACTCTTAGACCAGTTCATCATCCAGAATGATGCCAACGTGATATAGGTAAACACGAAAAAGTGGCACTTTTAATGACAAGTACAGAATTTTTCCGTTGCCATAATCTGATATAACAAGGAAATATTGCACAGAAAACCAAAAGACAAAGTAAAAGAATATGCATCGTCATAGATCTTGAATGTCTCGAAGGTTATAGACCATGCGAAAAAGAAGAAAAACTATGATAGTTTAATATTTTATGGGACTTTACATTACACACACAGAGAATAATCAAAGCTAATCGCTCGGACATCGTGATCAAGGACCTCAAGAACAGAATGCGCTTTCTCATTACCATAGCAGTCCCTGCACACTGTAATGTATCTTTGAAGATTTTTAAAAACTATCAAAATACAAAAATTTTGAAATAGAATTTTCGAAAACGTGGCATATGTGGACATCAATAATTTTAGATATAGTTATAGAACTCGGATTGATTGGAAATGATTCCGATAGACTCATTGAAGGGAATCCTGGTAGTCCGTGATTTAAAGAAATACAAAAAATTTTACTCATAAGTACAGCTCACACATTACGAAGAGCTTTATCTATGTAAATTTTGTGTGATCTCAGATTTTTTTTTTTTTTTACAAAAATGATCAGTGTAAAATATCATGAAACCATTTCTGACTTTAGGAAAGCCGGAAAGAAATCTGCATACACTAGAAATCAAAGGAAATAATAATAATAATAATAATAATAATAATAACAGTAGTAGTAGTAGTAGTAGTAGTAGTAGTACAAATTTGATGGGGCAGAAACGTCGTATGGGCAAACTCCAGAAAGTGTCATTTTCAATGATAAGTACAGAATTGTTCTGGTTGTCACAATCCAATGTAACAAGCAAGTATTGCACAAAAAAACAACAGATATTGTGATAAAGAAAAAAGAACATGCATCATCATAGATCGTGCATGTCTCAAAGATGATAAAGTTGTCGAAAAAGAAGAAAACCACAAAACTACGATAGTTTAAAATGGGAAATGTACAAACTGTGATTAATGAAGGTAGTGGAGGTAATCCCCATTGTTGTTGTTGGGGATCATAATCCAATTTAACAATGGAATGGTTTAGCATGATCCAAATAAACCTTGTGAATTTTTTTAAAATTTTTTTATCGCAGTTCCGACGCTTACTCTTTTCCGAAGTTCATAGAACGTAATATGGCGAAAGTGCAACTGTTCATCTTCCATAAGGTATTAATTTCTGGACAAAACGTCGAAATTCAAGAAAGTTTGAGTCTCACCTGAACGATGCAAGGTTTCAATCTCGAACACACCAGAAATCAGCACTAAAACAAACACCAGTGTCAAGTTGCGGTCAGTTTATATTAAAAATGAAAATCGGGTACGAACTTTTGCAATAATAATAATAATAACAATAATAATAATTATTATTATTATTATTTCCTTGGATTTATGTGTATTATTATTATTATTATTATTATTATTGCAAATAGCGAAACAAGAAATGTCAAGCAAATACATTCATAACTGATGCAATAATAATTGATTGGATCAAAATGTTAAATGTTCTTCCTTTTTCTTCTGCAACAGTGATGTACACTTTTATTTGATAAGATTGAAGTAAGTGTGACACAAGGTCTGAAGAGTGGAATATCTATCAATATCTAATTGTTGCCTCCATTGAGAATCAAATGACAGTAATCTCCTCATAAATAGAGAAAAAAGAAGGATAATAACAACAGCTACAACAGCATTGTCATCCAAATAATCTCAAAAATAAAAGTGACCCAAATGACAGTCAGTGAAATACATAAAAAATAATATAGAGTAAAAATGCAGTTGAGAGAAAAATATTTAGAATAAAAGAAACAGTGAAAGGGGGAAAATTCCCTTAAGGCTTTAACGATCCAACAACGAGGAAAAATCCAAACTCAGCAATAAAAAAATCTTTTCAAACCAATGAGAAAAATGCGAAAAAGCTCTGATGGATATGTGACATTCACAATAAAAACGAATCTTATTTTCATTAAAAAAAAAAAAAAAGAAAAAAAAAAAACGAAAGAAAAGGAAACGAAAGGAAGGGAGCAATCATAAAATAATCTAAAAGAAATGATAATATCAGTCTTTTTCCCTGCAATTTTGTTGACGCCACGTGTTTGTTCAATTCGCATTATCCATGTCCATTATTATATAAGGAGATAATCACGACAATTTTCTCTAAGAGTGAAAAATGAAACCACGTTCATAAGATGTCGAGAAAGAATTCTGACTGAAAACAATTATTAATCCGCCATGTTTGTTCACTGTTACATTTCCGGTTTTGACACTGCCAGCTTTCAAGGAAAAATTGTCGCCATTTTTAATTAACGTTCGTAGTTTTTACGTATTTATTTATTTTTAATCTTTTATTTGTGCAACCATTGAGTGGATTATTATATTTGTAAATGTCTTCTATAAAATAATAAAATCCTTTAGAAGTAACAAGACTTCCTATACAGTTGTACAGAGACAAAATGAAATAAGAAAAAATAATAAAATATTATATTACAATTCATTTCCAACCTAACTAGGTTTACTCAACTATCTAAGTATTTGTTCTGCTGTAGCCAGGTATTGAACTCACAATTATTTGGCCAATTCACTTTTAGGATCCCTCAACCAACAGTTTTATCCACTGTGCTATGTGTCCTTGGGGACATCCGTGAGTGAAGTGAATTTTTGGAATTTATAAAACAGTCATGTTTTTTTTTTTGTTTTTTTTTTTTGTTTTTTTTAATTATAACTCATATTACAATT